AATTTTTATTTCTTATTTCATTTTTTATAGCAGTTTATATTTACAAGAATTCAAATCAATTTTATATAAGACAACATTTTATGAAAATTAAATTCATGAGTTATCGATATTTCCAGACAGCTGTAAAAAACGATGGCAATGAATATATGTCTGTTTTACTTTCGTTCTTATTTTTTAAATGTTTTTTTTTTCTTATCATTCTTATTTTTGTTCTAAAGGAACTGACATTGCAATCCCAGGAAGACTTGACGCTTCGCACCCAAGGAGACAGTTAATTGCGTTCCCGATTAAAATGAGAAGAGTTTACCCGGCAAAACGGCGTATTGAACAACTGAAGAGCTGAGCCAAGGGAGCTCAGCTAATATACAACGCGGATTTAAGAAATCGGAAGAAGTCAGGAGAATTATCAGATTAGAATAAAATCACTGGCCCCATGATGGCTTTCTCTTTTAGATGTAGACTAAAAAAACAACACCAGTTCAGTCAGTAGGTATGAACCGCCATGTTGGAGGTGTTGTGGCAGTTTGAAATTTATGTAAAAATTGTTTATCCCGTAAGCTTTCAGTAAGACAAGTGAAGAAGATCTTTTAGTTTAGTAAATGATTCTGTGAACGTGTGATAGTTTAATGGCAATCTTAAATGAATAATAATAATTTTTTTTGTGAAAAGGAAATCACAGGCTGGCGAAAACTTTTTCGTCTAAACATAATGATTTTATTGTGCTAAATGTAAAAGTGGAAGAAAAACTTTCCAGTTTGGTATTTTGTTTATATTTCAATACAAATATGCATACAATATTGCGTTAATATTTTTCAATGCATCCAATTATCCTCAACAAAATTCTGCTTTTCATTAAGCCATCACATTCATATGAAAGCCAACATATATTATCATAAGATTTTGCTTTTCTTTCAAAGTTTTGCGACATGTATTTCCATATTTCGTATTTCACAAACATTCGTATCTTTTGATTTCGTCTGCTTCCAGTGAATTGTTTTAAAAATTAAACATTTTCCTAAAAATTCCATCATCGCTTTCAAAACCTGCTTTAGTTCTGTTTTCGTTTCTTAAAAGAAACAAATTTCTACAAAGATTAATTTAAATAAATTTTGTTCATATCTCCCTTAATCCAAACGACGCTTTCTCCAAATTCTATTATTTGATTATTGTTATTTCTGTTGTGACATTTTGATTTGAAACTTAGGATAACCAACGAAAATACGTCGTCGGATATTGCGGAGGAACCTATTAACATCGATGTTCAAGCTTAGCTTGAATTTTGGGAGAGTAATGGCCTCAGTGATTAACCGAGTATCCGTCACTCTCCAGTAGATATACACGTAGTCTAAATCATTATGGCACAAGGGCATAGATGTTCAGTGAGTTTCCGGGGAACCAAAATTGTAAACTTGTTTATATAAGAAGATTGTGTAATATATACTAAACTTAGTTTATTTCGGCAAAAGGCAACAGTTTCGGTAAACATCACTACATAAACACATAATTACTATTTGTTACTTTTCTATTTGTCTGTTCTAACGATATATATATATATATATATATATATATATATATATATATATATATATTGTAATATTTTTGTTTAAAAATATGATTCCTTTGCTACATAAGAGTTCTCATGTTTTCAAAAACGAGAGCCGAAACCATCCAAATAATTATTAAAATTAAGTTGAATTGAGGTGTTTAGTCCCGTTTCATTTTCAAGCAAAATTTTAGGAATATATATATTATTAAACAAAAAAATATTACAATATTATTAAACAAAAAAATATTACAAGCTCTACTTCTGTATGGAGCACTGTCTTCTTAAAAATAAAAACAGAAATACTAAGGAACTCCGGATTATGCACCCAATGTGTTCTTTTCTATTTTCTGCATACCTGCGCACTTATATATATATATATATATATATATATATATATATACTGGCCCCAGTATATCAAGGAAAGATATGAACCCATCTTTTCTCCCTAGGGCAAATTTGTTTCTTTAGCCTTAGTTGGCATCTCGTCTAGTAAATGGTTAAGTTTGAATTCGTAATCTGAGGTGGGCAGTTTTGAGACACTTCGCACCCTTTCTTTGTTATCACTTTTTCTGAAAAGCGTGGCTAGTTCTGAACAAACCTCCATCACCAAAATCAAATATTACAGGTAGGTAGCCCGGCTGTTCAGGCCTAAAAATGAATTGAATATTTAAACCCTCCTACGACGTAATCGACAGTAGAGTGCTGGTATATTATCCAACGAAAAGGACAGTCAAGATTTCGTGGAATATTTTTGCACATCAATCCCTGCGAAATTTTAATCCAAATGTATCGAAGAACTGCCTGATAAGTGACAGCAAGATATTGCAAGTAAAAGGTTAATATAATTAAATAAAATGCAATCGGATTTTATTTGTTGAAGAATAGACCAAAAAAATAACATGATTTATGACTTAATAATATACATTTTGGGAAATGTTTTACTTCTGCAACAAC